CCATTTTTTTGGTTGCAGCCATCATTGTTGTTTGGTGGGCCCGGGCTGGGGATATGAACCCGCCACCTTAGGTGTATGTGGCTGGCGCCTTAGCCGCTTGAGCCACAGGTGCCGAGCCTGCCCATCCTCCTCCTCCTCACCACCATCAGTTCCAGACAGGGCAGGGGCCTGGAAGTCAGGCAGAGCTGTGGGGGGTGTGGATTTAGCAAACAGGCAGATGTTGTGTGAGGCATGAGAGATTCTGAGTTTTGTAAATCTTTGCTGTTTCATAATATTATGGCTTTTTCTTACGAAGCTGAAATTTCAGTACTAATGTGCATCTCTTGCAGCTTTTTAACTCTGACAAGTCTCAGTTACTGGGACCCAGGGCAGGAGGGGACAAGGTCTTCTCAGAGGTTACTACTCCCAAGGGAGGGGAGCCAATGCAGACTTCACCCCTCACAGCCCCTCCCACCAACTGCTAGACTAAGCACCTGCCCTGTGTTCTCCCTGGTCCTGGATCCCAGGCGAGTGAAAATGGCTCCTGGGGTCCTGCTCAGGGAGGGGGCAAACCTGACACCTCCCACTTCTGCTCTGGTCCCTCTTTCCTGCCTGGAGGTCAGACACCTCCCTCCACTCTGCCCTTCACAGATATCACCCCTGCTTCATCCTCAGAGCCGCAGAGGCCACATGGACCCCACCCTTAATGTCCACCCTGCTCCCTGCTCTCTGGGGAGCAAACCCCTCTCCTCAATATTGGGAATAGGATTGAGATAAGTCTGACAGATTCCCTGTCATCAGGATAACTATTTCTGTTATTTATTTATTTATTTTTTTGAGACAAAGTTTCACTTTGTTGTACTTAGTAGAGTGCTATGGCATCATAGCTCACAGCGGCCTCAAACTCTTGGGCTGAAGCAATTCTTCTGGGTTCTCAGCCTCCTGAGTAGCTGGGATTACAGACACCTGCCACAATGCCTGGCTAACTTTAGAGATGATGTCTTAGTCTGGCTAAGACTGATCTTGAACCTGTGAGTTCAGGCAATCCACTTACCTCAGCCTCCCAAAGTGCTAGGATTACAGATGTGAGCCATCACACCAGGCCCCAGGATAACTATTTGCATCATCTACCAGGTAAGGACCAGTAAGTGAGTGGCTGGGACACCTAGAGGTTCTGATTCTGAGGTGGAGACATCAGCAGGTGGGTGTGTGGGGGCCTCTGTCTTCTACCCTCAGTCTAGTCACTTTCCTCTGAGGTTCCCCCACATCATTCCACCCTCCTGACCTTCACCCTGACTGAGACTTCAGGGGAGGGTCCCCAGGGGTGGGAAGTCCCTTCTCTTTCCCCCTCTCATGGCTGGACACTTCCCTGGGACCCATCCCCTTTACCTCCTCCTCCTTCCTTATCATCTCCAGAGCCCTTCTGGGGCAGGGCCGTGTACTGACCCTTTGAGCTCAGAGAGGGCAGGGTCAGGGGCCCTCACCTGAGACCACAAGCTCCAGGGGGTCACTGGGCAGTGACACCAGGTAGAGGGCACGTCCAGGTGAGCCATAGCATCTGTAAGTCCCCCTGTGGGCTGACGTCACAGGATTCATGGAGAATTCAGCCTGGTACTGTCCAGCTCTGGGCTTTGATCTGAGGCGCAGGGGGGGATTGACTGCCCCCTCCTTGATCAGAAGGAAAGTGTCCATCGTGTTTGGTGACTGACACAGCAGGGTCACATCCTCTCCTGAGGCCACCCTGGGGCCCGGCTGCACTGAGAGGGAGGGCATATCCAGTAGCTCTCCTAGAGAGGAAGGAGGGGTGGGAGCAGCCCCCATGTTGTTCTGGGCTGACACCTTTTTAGGCCTCTCTCTGAGGACCCTCAGTGTCCCTGTCTCTGTGTCTCTGAGTCTCCCCCTCCCCACCCACCCCTGTGTCTCTCTGTCCCACTCAATCCCTGAGGCCCCCACCCCTCCTCCAGTCCATTATTCTCTAGAGTCCCCCCCGCAGGATCTGTGCAGAGTCTGGGTCCCTGACTGAAACCACTGGGCGTCTCACCTGTGATCAAGATTTCCAGAGGGTCACTGGGGGCTGACCACTCGGAGGAGTGGCTGTATCCACCGTAGCATCGGTACTGACCCCCGTGGGAGCTCCACACAGGACCCAGGGGGAAGTCAGCCTGAGAGAGCCCAGCCTGGGGCTGCCAGCCAGGGCGCTGGGTGAGGACATATCCACTATCCTGGAACAGTGTGAATCTGTCGTAGCCTACATCAGAGCGACACTGGAGGGTCAGGCTCTGTCCAATTGCCAGGACAGTGCCATGGTTGGTGAGGAGGGAGGGCTTCCTAGACACACCTGGGGGGAAGGACAGGCCATGAGCTGCAGGGGCCGGTTCCTGTCAACTCCTCAGTGTCCTGCCCTGGCCCTGCAGGTGTCACTGTTTCTCACTCTTGGGTCTCTGGGCCCAGGAGCTCTTTCTTCACACCTGGGGCTGTTTGAGATATTTCAGACACCTGGGTTCCCCTGCCACATGGCTACTGCTCTCTTCCTGCTCTGTCCTCATCTGAGGACAGATCAAGAGGTGACAGCAAACAGCCTTCCTGATTCCCTTTCTCAGGTGAATGTGACTGAGGATCCGTCCTCCCTCTCAGACACTCCCGTGGGGTCCCTTTCATTCCTTAGCCCGTCTCCCATCACCTTGCACTGCGTCCCTGCCATGGCCAGTCATCAATAAAACTCCCAACAACTTCTGTATTGTCCCCCAAATGTATAAGAGAAGGCTGTGGCTTTCTCACCTGACACCAAGAGCTCTACAGGGTCACTGGGACCCACCCATTCCCGGGAGACATTCCTATAACTGCCATAGCATCTGAATGTCCACCTGTGGCTGGGGGTCACAGGGCCCACATGGAACAGGGCCTGGAACTGCCCATAGGAGGTTTGCTGTGAGTCCAATGTCCTGGAGAGGTTTTGATCTCCTTCCTCAGTCAGAATGAATTTGTCAAATTTCTCCCATGAGGCACACTTGAGGGTCACCTTCCCTCCTGAGGTTACCAGAGGGCTTGGCAGGGCTGAGAGTGTGAGTGGGATATAAAATCCTAGGAGAGAGGAGGCAGCTGTGTTAAATGGGGCTCACACCTCCCACATCACCTCAGGGCTGCGCTGTGAAAGGGTGACACTCCTGAGAGCAGATCCCCTTCTTAACTGCAGAGTTTGGAGCTGGGACAAGTGTCCTCTTACCTCTCTCTTCAAGCTGCAGGGGCTCACTGCGATCTGACCATCCAGCAGGGCTGCGATAGAGACAGCGATATCGCCCTGTGTAGCGCTCTGTCATGTGTTTGAATTGGAACTTGGCCTGGTTCCCAGGCTTCGGTAGTATCTCTTTCTCCCAGAAAGCTGAGAATTCCTCTCTTTCCAGATAGTATTCCTGGGCTTCTGGGGTCCCCTGACACCACATGGTCACGGGGCTCCCCAAGGGGATCTCATTGCCTGGTTCAGCCCAGAGGGTAGGTTTGGGGAGGGTACCTGGAATGAAATCAGAGACTGGATCCCAAGATACCTCCACCCCTCTGATCCCAACTCTCAGCCCAGATCCTCCAGATGTCTCCCTCAGTCATCCCAGAGCTGCTGTTTCCCCTCCCCAGATGCCCAGAGCTGTCCCCTTGTCCCTACTTGGGACCCATAGCATCTGGGGGAAGACTCACCTGCATGCACGTGGGTCTTGGGGCTCAGACCCAACCCTGGAAGAAAGTACCCTATGAGAGATTTGTCTCCTGAAGGCTGAGCACGATCCCTCCTCCCGGGAGACTCCTGAGGCCCTGGGGACTCCTGAGTGAGCAGGGCCTGACTGTGGGAGGGCGGGGTCCCTCCCAGACCAGGGTGTCCCTGGCCCCTCCTCACATCTCACCAAGGCAGAGCAGGGCCATGAGAGTGGGAGTCATGGCTGTGCAGATAGAGGAGACCACGGTACCCTCAGGACAGACAGACACACAGGCTGTGGCTACTCCAAGGCTGGTGCTCCTTCCTGACAGGGGATTGTCACATCAGCAGCCCCACAGGAAGGGGAACTGCCCCCCTCCCCAGGAGCCTGGTTCTTATTTCCTCAGGTGTGGAGCTGTGGTGAGCACCAGCCTCTCCGCAGATACTTCAGACAGAAATGGGTTCTCCCTGACGCCTAGGCACTGTCTCCCTCATCTGTCCTCATCTTGCTGAGGATCAGGACGAAGGAGCAAATGGACCTGATGTCTCCTGTGGTGGCCTCTCCCAGGTGAGGGAGAGGAGTGCCCATCCCCCCTCAGAGCCTCAATGAGGTTCCCTCCCTCCTTCAGCACAGCAGGGTAGGGTCCTCACCATGGCCAGTCTGTCCCTCCAGCCCAGGAGATGCTTTAGGGAAGGGTCAGTTTCATGCCCTCAGCAGACTCAGATCAGCAGCAACTCGTAAACATGGGACGGTGCAGCTCACAGCCGCTGACACTGACGTGTGGCTAGGAGCACAAAGGGGACACCCAGGGAATCAGGGAAGAACATTTGCCCTTTCTCTTGGCTGTGCACTGTGAATATCATTCTACTAAGTAGTCCCCCTCCCTCTCTCCCCACCCCTCTACTGTTCTGCAGCACCCCCCACCTGCACCTCCCTGAGAACCCAGCTTTGATTCTCTTCCCTCCTACTGAGCCTCTGGTTTCCTTGGGTGTCACATCTGTACTAGTCCTTGACCAGGGTCTGGGGAATAATTACTTAGATTTGAGCTGTGATTTGGGGCATTGGGTGTGGAGCTGAGTTTTATTTAACTTCTGATTGTCGTCCACTCCCTGTGTGACCTGGGGAGTGAGTTCCCCTCTCTGAGCCTCAGTTTCCTCAATTGGAGCTTACTGTCAGGAACCCCCCTCCTCACAGAGGATGAGGGGGCCAGGGGTGCCAGGGGATGGGAGGGGCTGGATCCTGGGTAGTTTTCAGACCAGGTTAAGACCTGTGGGGTTTTGAAGGTTCTCCACGTGGAAAAGGATCCACATCAGAAAACAGAGTGGCCACAGGTACCTGGGACCTTAGAGGGGTCATTAGGGTGTAGGGTCCCACTGCTGTGTGGAAGCAGTGACAGAAAACTCAGGGTCTGCACAGACAGGACTGTCCTAGTGTCAGGACTCCAGACTCAGGTGGGAGGCTGTTTCATGCAGACACACCTGAGGCTAGAGTGGACCCAAAGGACGCAGGGCAGTTCCCTCATGGGACTGCTCCCAGCCTCCTAAAATTGGGCTGGGGGGATTCCAAAGAAGGTGGGAGTAGATGCTGGGGTGTTTGCTCCAAAGCAGGTACTAGGAGGACACCCAGACAGAGGGAGTTTTTGAGTGTCCTTAAGACTGGAGGTCAGACATGAGAGTATGTATCAATGAGACAATGAGACTGTATCATTGTTTCAACTCAAGAAAAACAAAAGATCAAAAAATAAAACAAATAAGCAAAAACGACTAGAGGACATTATCATTCCTCAGTATACTCAGGGTGGGGGATCTTTTCTCAGGTCCCCACCCACACATACAGAGTCAGGTGGAGGGAGGTGCCGCCACACTGGAGTCTTGGAGCAAGAACACACAGGAACCAGCAAGTGCCACAAACAAGGCTTTGAGAAAACTTTGTATCCCCAGGGAGCCAGGTCATCAGCACAGCAGCCGACTTTCCCACCCAGCGCATGTGTGATCTCTAGTGATGATGTTTGTGGAGAAATAATACAGGCAGCTTCTGATGGAGAGTTGGGCATTAGAGTCCATTTTCCACTGATCATCTCCAAGAGAGATCAGAGTTTTGCCCATTTATCTAGTTATTAAACTCAGTTCTGTGTTGAGGTGGGGAGATAAAATTTGATCACACATATCAGGACATGTGCAAGTTGAAAATGAAAAGAAGTTTGCCACATGACAGTGGAGCTGAGTATGAGGTCCCAGAGGTGAGGACCAAAACCTGCCCTGGGGTATGTGCCCTCATGTCACAGGGGAGAGGATGGCAGAGGGACAGTCAAGGAAAGTTGGTAAAGGGTGGGAGGGGAGCCCTAGAGTCTGGGGGGTGAGTAGAGTCCTCTGCAGACAGTGGACCTTCCCCTGCACCTGATCCTGTCTTCTCCTCAGTCTGACATTCTCCGCAGACGGTCCCTACCTTCTGCCCCAGACTTTGTTGCAGAACCTCCTGGGAGC